AGGAAGTTGAAGCCATCAAGGATGATGGTATGCGTTAAAGAAGGGAGAAAGTGATGGGGGACTAAAATCTTGTATGGGGGACAGTTATTGAGAGATCAGTAGATACTGCAACGACAGAAGGGCTAGAATATATAGTCAAACTGCTGAATTAAAAAAAGCTAGGAGGAAGGAAGAACAATAATCACAGAGAAGCAGTGGAGGCTCACTTCCTTTTTTTTTTTTTTTTTGTAAGTTTCCCCTGTAAGCTCATTTCAATAGCACTTGTTTTCCTGAAGTTTCCTTGGGAAAACCTGGTTATGGGAATATCCTTACAGAACAGTTTTGTGTTTGCTTCTGTAGGATCCTGTAGGCTTCACTGGGCCAGGACCATCTTTTTGTTAGTTTTTCATCTTGAGATTCCAGTAACATTCAGGTATTGTGAATTTGGACCACACTCTCACAGACAAAAAGTTTATTAGTTTCTTCATAGGTGACTCTACTTACAAGCTTGTCAGACTTTCTTGTATTTCCTACTGATTCCCAGGTCAATGAGTAGTGTTCTTCTAGTCTTCATTTCACAAGTAAGTGGTCTTCTGAGACTTCTATTTCAATGGTGAAGCTCTAGTATGCATTCATTAGGCCTATATCTTGGTTCCAAGTCTCTATGAACTCTTTGACCTTCACACTCACACATCGTCTGACTTTTGGGTTCCCATTAATTTCTGGCACCTTGAGATTTCCCATTTTTAGTTTCAAGTTCAGTTGTGTGTCAAGTTTTTTTCTTTTGATTACATAACATTCAATATTTCTGTATTTGAGATGGGAAGGGAGTTTGCCTGGAACTACTCTGTTGTATATTGGTCAGAAGTAACCCTAAACCATTCTGCATAATGCAAAGGGTCTTTTAAAAACATAAATATGGTTATTTTATTCCCTTAGCATGGCATTCAGGAAATCAGGACACTTGCCTCTCTAGCTTCATTTCCCACCATTGTCTCTTCTCCACACTCATGTACAGCCTCTACACTCCAGTCAGACACTAACTCTTCTTTCTGTTCTCTCAGAATTGTATTTAGGCTGTGTGTTGATGGTAGTTAAATTTATCCCCTAGTTTAGCATACTATCCAGCATGGTATCAAGATGTAGTAACTGACAGGTGTAGTAATTTTTATCTCCTAGATTCAGAAAATAGTAGCTCCATATGGTGAAGCCAGTGGACACTTCAGTGTAACATGACTTTAATTTTAAATTAAAAATGCTGTCGAGTCCAATTGTTTGCATTGAATTGTATATTAATTAAAGAGTTGACATTTTAGTGATATTAAGTCATCCTTTCCAAGAACCTGGTATGTCTTTTCATTTGTCAGATCTTGTTTTATGCCTTTCAATATGATTTTCTATAATTCTGAATAGGGAACACATTAATATGCTCTAAAATTTAATTTAAAAGTATAAAAATGAAGATAGTGAATTAAACTTTCCATTGCTGTTCTCCCCCCTACCCAATTCCTCTCTTTCAGAGATATTTTATGTACATATGAGCAGATACATACACCTATTTATTGCAGTTGTGAATGGAATACTTTTGTTATTGTTTCTAGTTGATTATTGCTAGAATTAAAAGATATTGATTTTTGTACATGTATCTTTTATTTAGACGCTTACCAAATTTCCTTATTAATGCTAATATAGGTTTTACTATGACCTCTTAGATTTCCTAAACACACAGTAACATATCAGCAAAACAAAATAATTTATCTTTTCCCAATATTTATACCAATTATTATTTTCTTGCCTAATTGCTTTCACCTAAATTTTCAAAGCCATGTTGAATCTTGTCATATTTCAGACTTTAATAGAAGTATCTTTAGTATTTGTAATTTAAAGTCTTTGCTGTTGATTTTTGATGAATAGTTTCTTTTCTTTTTACTTAGAACTTTATCAAATCATACTTAAGACTGGAAAATTCTATCAAATGCTTTCTCAGCATATACTGATAAAATGTCTTATCTCCTTTCATTAAAAAAACTGTTTTGAAATAATTTTAGACTTACAGAAAAGCTGCAAAAACAATACAAAGAATTCCTGCATACCATTTACTCAGATTTCCCCAAAGTTAATACTTTACTTTTGTTTTATCATTCTATTTTTCTGTGTGTGTGTATACATATGTAGGTGCATGTGTGTATAGTTTCCTGAAACATTTGCTAATTGTCTATCTTTAATTCTAAATATTTCAAAGTATATTCTCTAAAAACAAGGATATTCTTACATAATCATGTATTATCAAAATAGTAAAATTAACATTAATATTAATCTACAGATATTTAAATACTTTTTAAGTTCTCGATGTCGTGGATTATATTAATAAATCTCCTGATACTTAGGCTTGTATTGCTGAAATGTAATCACAGTGCACAATTCAACTTAATTTTATTTGGAATTTTTGCATTTATAGTCATAGACGAGATAGCATTGTTTTTGGCAATTTATCAGGTTTGAGCATTAATCTTATGCTGGCCTTTAAAAGTCAAATGAACATCGTTCCATCTTTTCCCGTGATCTGAAGCAATTCATATAGTAATTATACTCATCTATTTTTTGGGCTGGGTGATGGTTACAGTGGTGTTCACTTTGTGATAGCTCACTGAACTGTACGCTTGTAATCTGTGCACTTTTCCATATATATTTCAATTTAAAAAGTTTAAATGAATACAATTAAAGCACCTCTCCAATTTCTCCTTTTGGTAACGTTAACTGGTCTACTCAAACTATGTCTTGGGTCAGTGTTTGCTTGGAAATGATCTATCAGCTTTGTTTCCAAAACTGTGGCCACAGAGTTCTCCTAATATTATTTTAAATTCTTCCACATATATGGTTACATCTGATTTCTCATGCCTAACCTTGTTTTGGTTTTTGCTTTGCTCTTTTTCCCTTTATCAGGCTGAGGAGGTTTTATCTATTTTATTGGTGTTTTCAAAAAGAATCATTTTCTATTTATCCTTTCTTTTTTTCATTCCTACTTAACTTCAGGTTTTATCTTTAATTGATCCATTTTCTGTTCACTTATGGTTTAAATGTGTTTTTTTCCCTTAATTTCTAAAACAATCACTATACATCTTTGAGTTTTTCCTTTTGAACAATAAAGATGTTACATTTTCATTTCAGTCCAGCCTCATGCATTCCTGGATACTCAGTAAGGTATCTGGGTCTTACTTTTTCCCCATTCGCTCAGGGTCTGGCAGGTCCTGGCCACAAGGACATGACAAATGTGTGCTCAGTGAACAAATAATACTGTTTTCATCCTGGGACTCACTATGAAGATCTGTGTTCACTGCAGGGCCCACCATCCAAATATGTGGAGCAGCCATCATGTGATGGTTCTGTGCCAGCTTCTATAAATAGGATAGTTGAGTAGAATAATTGGGTATCTGCTCTCTTGGATCTTACACTCTAATGACAAAGACAGACATAGAACAAGTAATGCAAGCGAGCTGAGTACTCCATCTAGAAGGCTATGGAAGTGTAAGGTAGGGGTCCAACAACACCTCGCAGGTCTAGCTAAGAATCCCTAGAAGAAGTGATACTCAAGTTCCTCATAATCTGAGGGTCTTCCCTGTCCCCTCTCTTCCCCTCAGAAAGGCGGCCATTGGGTTTTCTTGTATAAAAGTTATCTGGTTTTGAGTTATATGCCTGCTGCTCCTGGCCACAGTTGATTGACTATTTCTGCAACTTCCTGTAAGTCTAAAATTATTTCAGAACAAGTAAAACAAATTAATAAAAAATTTTAAAAAGGCATTCACTAAGGTAAGAAGCAGCACAAATCCTTGAGGGGCTGGACAGTGACTGCTAAAGCATCTACTGGGAGCCCATGTTCTGGTTTCTGAATGCCTCAGACCCACCATGCTGTCATGACATTCTCCCATCACCCAAAAGACTTTTGATTCCTGCCCCCATTTTCTGCTTCTTGAAAGAGATTTTCTAACACCAAAAGAGGGTTCCAAAATGGCCCCGCAGGGGGAGGGTGATGGTGTGGTCATCAATGATGGCTACTGCAGAGGATGCTCCAGGATGCACCAAGCCTTTCTGTGCCCTGCTAAGCTGAGGCTGAAACATATCTGGTCTGTGGAATGTCCTTGGGGGATGGCGTGCAGACCCCTGCTTAGTGACTAACATGCAGACTGCATGGGGGTGCTGTTTATTCCAGGCTCACTTACCTGGGACCACAGCATAGATGGGGCTGAGGCAGACTCCATGGCCATCTGGGCAGAGCCTAACCCCACAATCCGTTCCCCTATAGCTCCCCAGTGTCTGTGCTGTTAGTCTCCTGAAGGAGGCCCCATAGAGCTGAGCGTGTTTGGTCACTGAGCACTTCTGTTCAGTTCCAGTATAGTGCCCCAGTCAGCCTTCCTCCTAAAGGTGCCCTATTCTGGCCTAGTTCCAAGGCTGGAGAAACATGGTTTGGTCTGACCCCAGAACGTGGGGTGGGGAGAAATAGCAGCTATGACATGGCAGTGGGAGACGGAAAGGTTCTGTGAGTCCCTTCCCCTTGGAATTTTAGGGCATGGGAAAGAGGAAGCTATGGCCTAAATGCAGAACCTCTGTGCCTGGGTCTCTGCCCTCTTTTACTCCCAGTTGAGACATTCTGGGGACTCAGTTGCATGAAGACCAGCAGAGGTTGGCAGCTCAAGCCTGGTCTCTTTTCCCAGTCAGTTCTGTTCCTAGCTGCCATACTTCTGAGCTTCCAGGAAACAAGATAAAGCCCCAGAGACTCTGGGACATGGGGATCACCCTGAAGGACAGAGATAAGGGACCTCTCTCTTCTCCCTGCCTTGAAGGGGATGGAGGGACAGCTCCTCTCCCAGAGACCTGTTAGCACATTTGGGGCCTACAACAAAGGGGCCAGAGGAGGGCAAAATTTCTGCTTTTGACTTTGGGGCTGAGAAGGGGTCTTTCAGGGCCTGTGAGGAAGTAAGAGGCCTTAGGCTGGATGGAGAGGAGTGAGAGGCATGAAGGGAAGGTAGGTTGGTTACCATGCTACAGCCGAGGGGCTTTTATTGGGTGTTGAGGGCACATATAGGCAGGTAGGTAGATGCTAGAGGGTGTGGCACACCTTCTCAGGGTGTAGTGGTGCCTGTATGTCCAGTTTGTGGGTCTTGCTGTCCTTATCGATGATCTCCAGCCGCAGCTTGGGTGGCCGCTTCTCGGCCTGGGGTGAGGGCAGTTCAGGGCTCTTGAGTAGCTGCTTGTCTGAGTCCTCGACAGTGATGCGCAGCGTGCAGCCCCCTGGCAGCAAGTCCTGCTCGTAGGCAGCTGCCAGCTGGTTCACTACACGGCGCTCCACCTGCAGGCGGTAAGGAAAGTGGTCGTCACTGCCAAAGCCTGGAGGCCCGGTTCTATCACTTACTGCTCAGGCAGGTACTTACTCAAAGCTTCAATTTTCTCATCTGCAAAGGGCTAACAGCTTGCAGGACTGCGCTAATGACTGAGTAATGGCTCGGGTTCCCAGTTCAGTACTCCATGCCGGTAGGGTTGCATACTCAGTTACCTCCAGGATAGAGGTTTTACTTAATCACACTGTGTTTTCAGTTCTGAAGGGACATCTGCTCTGGGCAAGAACAATTCCAGTCTGTCTGGACAGGTTGCAAGCACAGGGAATGGATCTGAGGCACCAGGGAGGGAGGTGTGGCAGTGCCTCACTTCTCTCAGGCTCCTGTGCTCACCTCATGCTTGATGGAGCGGGCGCCATAGTGCACGTTGTAGCCGTCGACCAACACGTCCGCCACCTCGCGGTCCCAGAGTAGTGTGATGTTGTGCCTTTGCTTGGCCTGAGATAGGTCAGATAGGAGCATGCCTGCATGTGGCCCAGGGCTTAACATCTCTGCTCTCTGGACTGAGCCTGTGAGATACTGTGTGCCCCAGGGCCACTGGTCCCACACTTCAGTGCTCCATCTTTTGGGGGGTGGGGTGCTCCCTGCCCAAGGTTCTCTGACTTACAGTGGGCAGATGTCCCGCCCCAACCCACAGGCAGTTAGTTCCCTCTCTTACTCTCTTGGCCCAGAAGTTCAGCTCCTTGTTGACGAGTTGGATGAGCTCTGAGTGGCAGAAGGGGAGGAAGTAGACGATCTCATTGATCCGTCCCAGAAACTCATCCCTTCGGAAGTGAGCCTGCAGGGCCAGGTTAGGGATGGGGTGAGCTCAGTGACCCAGAGTGGGTAAGGAATTACTGGACCCCACTGGGGAATATGTGGGATAGGGGGCTTCCATATCTTCATGATGGCTAAGGGGATCCCCCCAACCTGAGGCTCCAGCAGGAAGGACAAAGAACTCTTACTTTCAGGATGGGGCGAATCACATTCTCCTTGAAGTTCTTTGAGATGGTGATCTTGTCACTAATCTGGACATCCCCTATGGAGACAGAACCAGACACTGCCTACTTGCCACACCTGGGGACCTTTGGGAGCTGTGCCCACTGCTTGGCTCCACCCATGAAAGAAGTTCCAGTCCTGCCCTTGATGGTCTGTGTGATCCTGGTCAAGATCTCAGGCTCTCTGGGCCTTGGCCTTCTCTTCTGCACAATGAGAAGACTGGACTGGGTACTTTCTAGGCCTGTTCAGTGCTTATGAACTGGCAGGAACTGTATGAAGGAGGAAAGGGGATAGGAGAAGAGTCAGAACCAAGACTTGAGTTCTGACTTATAAGAAGGGGACTGGAGGGTTCAATCCTAAATAGAAAGAAAGGTGACAGACTCGGCTCCCTGCCTCACACAGTCCTCCTTTCCAGCACTCTCCAGGGCTCACCTATGTAGGAAGCTTCCCTGGCTGAAAATGGCTGTGCCCACCCCATACAATTTCTGATCTGTTGTCCGGTTGTTGCACCAAAGTGTCTCTATCTGTTGAGTGTGTCTCCTCAGTCCCCTTAGACCCTGTCTTCTTCCTGGCCCCTTGCCCTGGGGTGGCTCTGTCCATTCCTTTGTCTGGAGCCCTCCTGTCACTCAAGAGACTTGAGGCTTTCTCAAGGAAGTGAGGGCACTGTCTGTCTCCCTCTACTATCTAGTAGGATGAATGGTGTCTGCTCAGGGCCAGCTGGGGACAAAGATGCCTATCAAGACCGTTGCCTGGCTCCAGGACCCCAATGCCATCCTTGCCCCCAGGAGACATGCTGGCAGTCTGGTCACTTGCCCTGTTGCCCAGACAGCTCAGGCCAAGTGCCATACCAAGGTTCTCAGCTATCCGGTTATGACTCATCTCCAAAGCCTCCTGCCTCAGCTGGAGCGCATGCTGTGCAATCTCATCGCTGGCCACGTTGGAGGTCATGATGAAGATGGCGTCCTTGCAGTCAATGGTCTTCCCTTTTCCATCTGTTAGCCGGCCCTGGGAAGCAGTGACAGCATGGTCATGAAGCAGTACGGCTAGACACCTCTTCCAGGAGGTCTCTCCAGAACTCCTCTGCCTCCCTGCCCCCCTGGCAGAGTCAGCTGCTCCCTCCTCTGGGTTCTCTGAGCACTGTTCTCGCACCTGGGCTGCACTGCTCACCAGCTGAGAGTGCCCCCTGGCGAGACTGCACCTGCTGTCTGGCATGTCTCAGGGTACCCAGAAGCCAGCCTGATTACACATGCATCCATCCAACACTCTCTCTTAGAGGCCCACTCTGGGCCAGGCTCTGTGTTGGGGCACTGAGCCTTCGACACGTTCCCAGTCTAGAGAAAGAGTGAAGCCAGGAAACAAACAGTGACAGTTCTGTGGGTTAAGCGTTATGATAAAGAAGCCAGGCTGCTGTAGGAGGTCCCAGGAGGGTATTCTATAGGGCCACTGTGAGGACCAGACCCATGAATTGAAACAGGTATAATCACTGCATCTTTGGAGCCATCCTCTAGTCTGGGATAGAAAATAAGGTTCTTCCTTTAACCAACTTGAGAAGTTCCCTTGGAATCTTTAGCTCTTTCTAGAAGTGAAGTGACATAGAAGAAAGCATCATTACTAGACACAGATGCACCAAGGAAAGAGAAAAGGGACAACAGCATACGGAAGAGACAAAAGAATGAGAAAAGTGTAGCTGTCTGGGGCCATTCAGTTCAAGGGCAAGGAACTCTACCTACTCAGCAAGCCTCGATGATGGTACAACCACACTTTGCAGTCATTTATAAAAAAGCAATGATCAGAACCTCACTGAGAGGAACTGATGGAGTCTGACTCTGATGTGCACGTCCACTTCTCTGCTTAGTGTCTTCTGTGCATTGCTGCACTCTGCCCATTAGAACGTTGCTCTATGAGGGCAGAGGCTGGGTCTTATTCTCACTGGGTCCTAGTGCAGAGTTTTGCATAGCAGGTGTTCAGTAATTGTTTGCTGAATACTTGAATCCTCACAATGACTACAAAGAAATTGAAGCTCAGAGAGGTTAAGTAACTTGTTCAAGGTCTCCCAGCTAGAATATAGTGGAGCTGAGGTTCTATAAACTGTCTGACCCCAGAACCCACCAGTGTGCCAGGCTACTGGGGTCACACCAACAGTGTGGGATAAATAAAGCCTCATGCGATTTTCCTTCCCTAAATAAAAATTTCTCAGAATTCTCCCAAATTCATTTGGCATCCTTTGAGTCCTTGGCAATAAAATGTGTCCCAAAGAGGGAGAGAAGTAACTGGAACACGTGTAAGGAGAGGCAGATCTGCCTGGGAATTTCTCTGGGTTGCAGACAAAGCACAGATCCTGCCAAATCAGAGAACATGGCTCTGGGAATAGGTCACTGACCTCAGCCAGTTGGTGCCTGCCTGAACCAGCGATGCTGGGCCCTGCCTCAGCCTCAGCTGGTAACCAATCCTCCTTGAGTGTTTCCCTTTCCTGCTGGTATGGGCCTCACTCAAGGTCAGCCCTTGTTTCTAAAGCCCTCGCAAAGGCAGACCAGCCCTGGCCTTCAGAGGTGAAAAGGGAAGGAATATGCATTAAATGAGCACCTACTGTGTGCTGGGCATGGTACCAAGTGCTTTTATGCCTTGCTTTTACACTGGTCCTTGGCACAGGCCTCTGAGTAAGTTCCAAGGGGGTCTATTCAAAAGAGGCCTCAAGATCCAGGGCCCGATCACTCTCCTGTCCTGGTCTTGAGTGAGAAGAGGGGAAGGCAAGGGTGCAAGTGGATGTTTTTGAGTGTGGCCATTAGCCTCCCACTTCACCCTTTGCTTATTGGTTACAACATAACAGAATCCACTGAGGGTAATTCTAGTTTTGGGGACCTGTTCTGCATGTGCGTGATGTGCCAAAGTGCATGCAGATGACACCGTGAGCCTGTGCAGAGCTCAACCCCAAGGACTGAGCACACTGCTGCACTGGCCAAAGCAATAACCGTTTCATTCTGAGAGATCAAAGCTCTGCTCATAACTGGGGTTGAGGATGGGTCCCAGGTGGGTGAGGGGAGCAGGTGCAGTGTATGAATGACCCAAGAGGTTACTCTCACAGTGCTCATGTCTCCTTCTCCTCTGAGTCTTTGGCAATAAAATGTGTCCCAAAGAGGGAGTTGTCACTGTCCCACCTTTCAGCAGTGACTGCAGCGCACACATCTTGGGTGGGGCACGAATGCTCACCCCAGGGTAATAGGGGCTGCTTTCCCACTGTTCCATCCTTGAAGGGAGGAGTGGGGGTAGCTTCCTGAGGGTCAGACTCATCCTGGGACTCCTGCCCTGTGCTGTAGGCTCTGGGGTCAACTGGAAAGAGACCTGCATTAGCCCTGCTTGGTGTTTTGGTGAGAGCATTAGGGATCCTGCTCTTCCAGGTCCAGGCTTGGGAGAATCGAGCTAGGTAGATATGGGGGGCTTTCCCTATGACTCAAGAATGGATCAGGTGCCCTTATAATTCCTACTTATCCTAGAGCAACACTCACTACAGTGGCTGAACTGCTTTTTGCTACCCGTCTGCCCCCTCGCTCACGAACACTGAGGCAGGGACTGTCTATTCTGCCTGGTCCATTCTGCCCTGCACATTTCTCAGTTAGCCTCTGAACTCTCTGGCAATTCCCTCTTTGGCTCCTTCCGGAGAGGCTGCAAGGCTCTGCTTTTCCCTGCTCTTCACTGCACGCCATATTCTCACTGTGGTTTCCGTTACCTTCTCTGTGCTAGAGCATTCCTGAACCTCTACTTCCGGTGCAGACCTCTCCTGCGCTCCAGATCTCTCCAACTTATGAGCGGCCTCTTAGACATCTCCGTCTGGCTTTGCTCCCAGCATCTCATTTTCAACAATTCCAAACCTCAGCTCCTTACCTTCCTCGCCAACCTGCTGCTCATTCCCCTGCGTTCCCTCCCTCAGCTGAAAGCAGCAGCAGCCACGGGTCAGCCAGGCCAGAAGTCCTGCTGCTGGTCAACCTTGGCCCCTCCATCTCTCCTCCCATCCAATCACTGAGCCCTGCATAGTCGACCTCCCAGCAGCTCTCACTGGTCCCTCTTCTTCCTTCTAGGCCATTCTCCTGCCTACAGGATCTTCATAAAGTGAAAATCTGATCAATATTTCTCTCTTGCTTAAAGTCTTTAAAGGCTCCTTACAATCCACCAAATAAATCCACACTCCTTTCCCTGGCATTTTAACTTGCCTTTGTCTACCTTACCCACCTGATCCCCACCATTCTGCTCTTACTTTTCCTCTGCAGTCAAGCAATACTGAACAGCTGTAGTTCCCCACATATACCAGGCTGCTTCAAGCCCCTCTGCTTCTGCACATTAGGTGTCTACTGCCGGCCCTCTACACTCTGTTCACCCGACAAACATTTACTCATCCTTGGAAGGTTTGCTGAATTATTGTTAAATTATGTTAGTCTAAAGAGCATTTCCCCTGATGCTGTGGGCTGAGAGTCAGATAAGGTCTCTGTCCTCAAGGAGCAAAAATACATAAATCTGGCTAAAGTAAACTTGGATGACAGCTTTGGTCAACGGAACCAAGGGCATAAACATCTGTAGTAGAAACTGTAGTAGGCTGGTGGGGGCTGTAGGAAGGCCTTATTACCAACTCCCAAAGGCAGTCAGCAGAGTGACAGCAGCAGGGGAGGGGTGACAGGGCTTACACACAGGAGCAGTAAGCATCTAGGTGGGGCTGGTTGTATTTCAGTCAGCAGCTGCCTTTCCTCTTTCTGGACCAAGAACCTCTCCAGGGACGTGAGAGGCCAAACAGACTGCTGCGCTCACCCTCCCTGTGAATGCTTCACTCCAGATCTACCTCTCTCTTTTGGCCCTGGCTGCACGGTAGTTATATTTAAGCCGCAGGCTCTGGAACTGGACTGCCTCTGTTCAAATCCTAGATTCCTTCTTCCCAGCTGTGTGACCACGGGTAAGTTAGTTAATCTCACTTTACTTTAGTTTTTACATCTGTTACATGGAAGTAGTAATACTATTTTCATAGGGTTGTTGGGAGATTAAAGGAGTTGATACATGCAAATTTCTTAGGATAGTGCCTAGCACACAAAGTAAAAAACTGTCAACATCTCCTTTCCGCCTGTTTACTAGGCAGGGAGCTCCCAGAGGGCAGGTTTGGGTCTGGTTCAGAGCTGTGTGCCTGAGTCCTGTTAAGAGGCTAGAATGGAGTGGGAGGTCTCAGAGTACAAGTGCACAGGTGTGGGAAACAGAATATGTGACCTCTGAAGGACTGGTCTTCATTCCTCAGTGGGGGTCTGTGGACAGGGAGTAGCTGAGAGGCTGGGAAGACAACAATAAAACTGGGGCAGGGGCAAGGATGCTGGGCTGGGTGGGGAAGGCAGTGGGCAGCTATGGGCACTTTGGAGCTGGGTCTTCCTGGCTTGGTACCTGATATGTTATGTGGTCCAGGGGTGTCCCTTCTTGCATCTCATTAGTGCAGCTGGGACATGGGAAGCAAAACTCCTTTCCATCTTCCCAGCACTGGAGGGGACTAAGTGGAAAGGTGGGCTGGATTCCATCTGGTTATGTGCTGGCTAATCCAGATCCTGCATGGGAGCAGACAGGAGGCCTCATCCCTGGCTCTATAAGGCCCCTGGAAAAGGTGGCAGTCAGCCCCTCCCATGATCATATGCTCTCCCTCCCCAGCTCAAGGTAAGAAGTGGTGCAGATGGGGAGAACTGGGGCTCTGGGACCAGCTCTATCTGCAGCCCACTTCTGGCTCCTCCACACAGTAGCTCTGTGGCTCTGGGCAAGTCATTTATAATCTCATTGAACCTCAGTTTCTTCACCTGTAAAAAATGATTTCTTTCTTGCCCAGCTATTGTGATGATTAGCGGTAATGTCTGTAAAGTCTTTAGCACAAAACTATTACCTAGCATGTGCTGAATAAGAGGGAGCTGGTCTCATTTACAGCTCACTCCACCATTTGTGGAGGGAGACTGTCCTCGTTTTTGAGGAGCCTGGAGCTCCTCAGGAGAAAAGGGCACCACCATACCATCATCATCACCATCATAGACAGCAACACATTACTGGCATTTAAAGAACTGCTGAAGATGATGGTTGACACACAGGGAGGAGCAGGGGCTGTCTGAGCCAGAAAGGTCCTTGGAGCTTGTCTTGGATCCAGCCTCCCTGTTTGTTGCATGAGGTCCCTGATGCTTAGAGATGGAGCAGAGCTGGAACTAAAAATTCAGGTCTCTCTCCTTCCGGGCACCTCTGCCCTACTCTGTCTCTGTAGAAGGTAGCCTGGGCAACCACAACATTTCAACTCTTGGGCAGTGCTGGTCTTCCCTCTCCCCTGGGTGCCCAGTGTGGGCCCTGATCCATGGCCTTTCACACCTCTTGGGTTAGTTCCCTTCCTCAGGCCCCTGGTGAGGCAGGGGGTGAAGCCACATCTGCAAAATGACTGAACATACACACGAGGGAGCAGAACGTTGAGAAATGATCAACTCTGGGTCCTTGGGTCCTGGTATTCACAGTGCCCTGTCCCTCCAGCTGTGCACCCCCATCCCCCTCCATCCTGGCCCAGGCTGACTTTCACCTCATCAAACAGCTGCAACATGATGGTGAGCACATCTGGATGGGCCTTGTCCACCTCATCGAAGAGCACCACGGCGTTGGGGCACTGCTTCAGCTTTTTGGTCAACTGGCCACCCTCCTCGTGGCCGATGTAGCCTGGTGGGGACCCGATAAACTTGGCCACCTGGTAGAAGGAAGGAAATATGTTAGGTAGGCTTTCCTATGCTTTTAGTTTCCAATATGGGGCATGCACAGGAAGGTGGCTTTATATACTGTTAAGATTGCTTGTCTCAACAAAGACAGTTAGGCTGTCTCCTGGGGTGGAAGGAATCCTGCTGTGATGGGAGAGCAGACAGATCTTTTCTACATTTATTCTTCAGGGCAAATCCTATGCAAAACAGATCAGTGACCCTGCTGCATACGGATGCTCCCTAAGGACAAATCCCAAGGCTGCTGGAATTATCTCAGGCTCAAATGACAAGTCACATCGAAATACCCAGGCAGAGTCATGTTGACAGCCTCTCCAAACCACACTTCTCCGAGGACTCTCACCTCATGCCGCTCCTGGAACTCAGACATGTCTAGCCTGATGAAACCCTGTATGGAAACAAGCAGGAGTCCATTTGAAGGCAAGAAGGCAAAGGGAAGGGTTAAGGAGGAGAGCATCTCAAATATCTTCCAGGCTTTCAAACCATACCAAGACAAGTTCTCTCTCACTTTCATAATAGTTTTTTTCTGGGTCTTTGCCTCCTTTTCTGTCTACTCATCCCCCATGACTCCCTCATTCCTTACCTATTTAATAAATCCAAGTCATATTCCTGCCCTTCTGAATCTGGCTCAGAATGTCTTTTTAAGGTTTCTGCTGAGCCTGATTACCACATCATCCCCCACCCATGCCCCCACATCCCATCCATCCCACATTTCCTGAGGGCATCCTGTGTGTGCTGGGCACTGGAGCGGCTAGCTCTCTGTTCTCTAGGAGCACCCAAGTGGGCCAGGCCGACACAGGGAAAGTCAGTCACCATCAGTGAGGATCATGATGAGATGGAGGGGAGCAACAGACACCCTGACAGCTCCACGGTGCCCTCAAACTTCCAAGTCTGCGTGGGCACAGGCCCCTTTGTTTTAGGTTACTTTTCTGCTCAACTAATAAATCTTTTCATTTATTTACATGTTTTCACTTCATTTAAGAGCTATCCACAAAGTAGCCTGCAGCTCTTCTCTCTCCACCTAGGGGTGATTTCCTGGGAAGTGGCCCTTGGGGTGAGGCCCGACCATAATTAGCCTCAGAAGAGAACACCGTATAGTGCGGGATGTGTGAGTTAACACAAGCCTTTTCATGAGGAATACAGGGATTCAGGGCATTGTAAGGGCATTCAGAGGTTCCCTGTCTCTCCTCACAGACCAGGGTTCCCCATAGGCTCCCCGGCCTCCTCTCTTAAAGCACACGCACATGGAAGCACATGCTTCTGTCTCAGAGACTGCACTCACTGACTATGCTTCTCCTGAGAGCTGGGGAGGAGGGGGCGCCAAGGCTCTGAGATGGCAGTAGCTATGTCTGAAATCCAGGCCAAACTCTAGTTCGGCTGCTGGTCAGAAGTCCAGTCTGTGATGTATTCCAGTTTTTTCTGTCCTGTCACTCTGCACCTGAGATACACGGTGGCAGAAAGAGCCCTGGGCTGGCAGCCAGGGGGCTAGGCTTCCAGCCCCAGTTCTCCACGGTCTGTGTGGCTTTGGTCAGGTTGCCTCCCCTTTTGGAGCTGCAGTTTCCTTCCTATGTACACAGGCCCTTATGTCCTCTCCCTGCCTCACCAGGGGCCTGAGGAAAGGAACTAACCCAAGAGGTGTGAAAGGCCATGGACACATTCTTTAGGCCATGTGGGGGTGATCACAGCTCTCAGAACACATCGGGCATTAGCCAGCAAGCATTTTCAGAGGGCCCCACGCAGTACAGCCAAGAAAAACACAGGCTTCAGGAAGGGTGGGAAGATCGACACGGGGAAGCTGGGAGTGTTGCCCAGAGGGAGCAATGGGCTGGAAGCATGAGATGGGGATCTGATGATAACAGCTGACACTCCCTGGGTGCTTGCTATGTGCCTGGCAATGTCCTAAGCAAGCTATAAAGGGCTTAGAACATGCATAAGTCTATGAGGTAACAACTATTATCATCTCCACCTTACAGATGAGAAAACTGAGTCACAGATTAAAGTAAATTGCTCAGGGTCACTCCAGCTTGACAATCTGGCTCCAAGCCTGTGTTCTTAGCCACTATACTCTACTGCCTCATGTTTCTTGCTCCACCAACCAGCTGGGCTCTTCGCAGTCTTCATCTGAAGGGTTCTGAGCTTTGTGCCTAGAGCCCATGTCAATCGATGTCCTGAGATACAGGGATACAGACTCCAGTACTTACTTATGCTTATGTCAAGTGACTCGGGTTCCTACCCCAGTCCTTCTACTGATTTGCTAATTAACTTTGAACAAGTCTTGGGGCTTGATTTTCTTGGCTGGAATAATTTTGGTTTCATATTATCTTATTTTAGGCAACAATACATTATGACAATAATATCCAACATATATTGATTGCTTACTATGTGCCAATAATGGTGTTCAGCATTTTACATCATTCTCTCACTTAACCTTCACAATGATCCAATGAGATAGGCACCATTATTGAACCCATTTTACAAATGAGAAAATTTATGCAAACAGAGACCTCAGCCAACTCCACAGAGTAGCTTAGAGTTGGAATCTGAACCCAGGTAGTTGGACCCAGATCCCTGCTCTTGATCCCTTCACGGTACTGCTGCTATGTCTTCAGTGTTCTACCACCCTACTTCAGGATGAGATCACAGAGCACCATTAAGGTATTTTTCTCAAGGATTATTAACCCTAATAATGAAAGTTAACAAAGCTGCTCAATTTGGGAGAAACAGTAGAGGTTAATGAGAGAAAAAAAATAAGCTCACAGGTCTGATGAAGAAATTATAAAAACATGCAAACAAGGCCTTGTGAGGCAGGCAGGTCTGGTGGTATTAGTGACTTTTACAAATGAGGAAACTAAGGATTGTAGAGCCAGAACTTGAATTCAAGTCACTGACTCGCAGGCCAGTGCTCGTTTCATACAGTCATCCTTACTTTACACTGGGCCCTGTATATAACACTTCCCTTACATCAGTCCTTGGGTCCTGGCGACGTCAGGTACCCTAGTTAGACAGTTTACAGCCCAGGACCCTCAGATTTTGAAGGCAGGTGCAAAACATGCCTGTTACATGGACAGAAAATGTCTAGGCTAAACATATATTCTGTAATGAGTTGGCCCATATGGCTGGTGAAGGTAGAAGTTTTATAGAAGCACCACCTATGATTTAAAAATAAAATACATGGAATGGTTATATTGAGCTTTTCATGCCTCTTGTCTCTCTATGTGACATGGGGACAAATGGACAAGTTTACAATCTAGCCTCCTATTGCAGCTGAGAACAATGGTATTAAGAGAAGAGTTGAGAGACTGGATTCTGATTTTATTTCTTCCCCTAACAGGTGACCTTGGACCCTTAGTGATTAGGGTCTCAGTTTTCTCATCTGAATAGTGGGTCTAATTTAGCATGCATGCTATTTTCCTTTTAGGATCAAATAAGACAGTGGATGGGGTTATTGCTGTGGAGAGTACGACGTAATGAACAAGGGATCAGGCACTTACTGGGTGCTAGAGCCTGAGCCAGCAGTGAGTCACAGTATCTCACTTGATGCTCATGACAACCTCATACACAGGACTGATTAGCTTTGTTCCAAGGCAAGACAGCTGGAACTTGGAGGGGTAAAGCAACCTGCCTAGGGCCAGCAGAAAGCAGAGCTGGAACCTATGCCAAGGAATGGCTGCCTCCAGAGCCTTGATCGCCCAGCCCACTGCCTCCCAGTAGTGATGGTGTTACTTCTGTCTCCTGGGTGAGGCATGTACTGAAGGACATCATCATCAGCTTTCAGGACACCTTGCACTGGTGGAAATCTGCCTCTTGTTTAGATGTTCCAACTGAAAAATGACTTGCATCATCAGTCTTTTATCAAGCCCTTTCTCCTTTCTACACCAGCAAGTCAGCAGATACTTTCCTTCTACTTCCACTGTGTATGAAGACATATTAAGACAGCTTGGATAAGGAGATTATAATTTGTAATTAAATATTAACCTTTCTGACAGTATTAAAATTAAACCACTCAGAATTCTTCATCCCTAATCAGGTGGTTCCTGCCTGTAACTGCATCTTCCCTAATAGTCTTGCTAGTTTATGGCCCCTTCCAGAGTGCTAATTGTTTCAATCGCTGCCAACCTGATGAATTGTCTTAAAAATGCTATTTCGGTTGGAGCATATTAGTATGTCATGTGCTGTTTCCTGTCTGTCTGCCTATCGAGTGGGTCTGCTCTGCCTGTGGCTGAGGCAACTCACAGCTACTAGCAGAGTCGGGGAGGCTGAGGAGCCTTTGGCCAGTTATCAGGCAGAAGTGGGCCACGGAGGTAGCTCAGGAGGACACAGTCTAAGCTACCTTGTTTCTGTGGCTGCCAGGCACTCAGCAAGGTGGGAAAGGGGCAGCTTGGCCAGAGCAGGACAGGAGGTGGCCAGAGCAGGACAGGAGATGGCCAGGGACTCTGTTGCTGGGGCAGTTTGGCTGGCAGAGGCCTGAGCAATTCCTCATTGCCTCAGCTGGGGAGGCCTTCCATAGAAATAAGGCAAGGGCATCCAGGGTCACAGGCAACTTGTGGTGCCTCCACACTGGGAAGCCAGGCAGGAAGAATATTCAGCTTCAGTTGAAATATTTCTGCAATCTCTAAGGACTGCTCTGACATTTTCTCTGTATGAAAGCATTTCCTGTCACCTTAGAAGGTAAAACTGAGCAGAGGCCTTGGAAAGCCAGAATCTGAACAAGACGATGGGAATGGCCCTCTTTGGAGAATCCAGGCCTCCAAGTCATGGAGGAAAGGGGATGTGACCATCGCATAGCTTACGGCATAAAAAATCAAGTGTAAAAGCTCATGTAGGACAGGGAAAAGCAGTAAGACATCCTCTGATTCCTACTTGTTTTCTCCTTCAGGCCCAAGACTCCTTCTAGCACAGCCTTGATGGCACTGGACAGTAATGATTTGTTTCTAAAGCTGTTTCCCTCTCCAGACTGAGCTCCTCAGAACAGGGGGAGTGTCTTAATAAATGCTGTATTACCAGGATCTAGTACAATACCCAGTACAGAGTAGATGCTTGGAAACGTTGTATAAATGAACCTCACTGGGTTCTCCCGAGTGCCCCAAGAGCTAGGCAAGGCAAGGATTATCCTTCCTATTTCATAGATGAAGAAACTGAGGCACAAAGAGGTTGGATAATTTGCCCAAATTCCTGAAGCAGCTGATGGTCAAGTTGGGGCTATAGCTGAGGCCTGCCTCCTGGGCCAGGGCCCATCTTTTTGATTGGTTATTGCCAGATGCAGGGAGCCTACAATTTTGGGGGCTAGCAGGAGTGGCAAGCTCTCCACTGCTTGCAGATCAGGCCTAGGTCCTAGCCCTTACCTTTTTGGCATCTTTGTGCATATATTTGGCTGTCTGCTTGGCCAGTTCAGTTTTTCCTAGTAGGAAGGAAAGGAGAAGTGTTAGATTAGGACCGGATGACTATCTCTTGGAAAGAAGGAATATTAGAAATGCATGGATGCTGGAAATAATCTATGTTGTGGATGGCAATGCTGAGGCTCAGAGAGGGTCAGTGATTCTCCTAACATCACTAAGGGAATTAATGGTGAAGCTGGGACCAGAATCAAATGTGCTTTGCGTCTTGATTTTTCTGTGGGTAGGGACTGAGGCTTTTTCTCTACAGCAGCGTCCTAAGACTGGGAGGTGACACTTATAATCCAGAGTCATCTTGTCCTTTGAAGCCCAGCACAAATCTCGCCTCTCCTAGGAGCACCCTGACTTTCTGGCTCACTGCACTGTATCCCTCTAGAGACTCATGGTCTTGCCATCCTGGTAGGCCCTGGAATTACAGGCCAACCAGAAGCTGGGAGAGGATAAAGAGTACCTCTCCTTGGCTTCACAGCTTTTCTCTGTAACATAAAGAAGGAACAACAATACCACCTTGCTGTCTCTGAAGGGCCATTTGGTATGATGGTCAAGACTTTGGAAGTCATTTTCTGGTATGGGTCAAGTTCCATGGTATCATGTGAGGTGATGGTAACCCTTTGAGCCCTCCATCTGGGGGGCGGGGAGGCTAGGCCCTTGAAGATGCTGAGAGAAGAGGAGGTAATAGATGCATGAAATTCCCATCATGACAATGGGAGGTGGTGGTGGAGGTAGGGGAGGGAGGTCTGTGAGAGTGGAGAGTGAGGGCGTGAGAATGTCTCAGATAATCCAGCCCAACTGGCTAGAAAAACACCCAACCCATTTCACTGCAACTAGTTTTGCTATGCACTTAGCATGTGCTGGCCATCAGGGGCTTTCTTTAGCTTCCTAGAGGGTTATGTTCCAAGCCACACTAAATAAGGTTGGTATGCTGGGCAGTGGAGGTGGTTCAATTGTTCCTAAAGGGCAGCCTCTGGGGATGCAGAGTGGCTGGACCAGGACTAACAGGACCCGAAGGCCCTGGCCCTCCAGGCGAATTAGGCCCTGTACCACAGCTTCCAGAGGGAAGGGCATAATTCCAGCTGTTCCTAATGTGACAGATGATCCTCCTGCTGGCTCTGTAATTTGGAGGCAGTTGTTTTGGGAACTAAAGTTGAAGTAGAGGTGGGTCGTGTGACCCTGGTGCATAGCAGCTGGGGCTCCCCAGCTCTCCTTCCCCACAGGCTGATCTACTCCCAGTTACCTATTCCAGATGATCCCAAGAAGAGGAAGACCAGAGGGTGTTCTTCATCGTACCAGCCATTCTCCTTCCTCCGGATCGCTACGGCCAAACACATAAGATGGGAGGATGGGGAGGGAGGCAGATAAATCAATGACACAAAAGGCAGGATAATTATCACTAAGTATACAATATGTTTTACTGCTCTGCGCCCACTCAAAGTCCTCACTACCATTAGTGCTGCCTAATCTGATTAGCTGGCAAGGCCCCTAGAGACACCTAATCAGGTTAGCATGGATTTGGAAAGCTGCCCAGAGCAGATTTCGGATAAAGTTTTCCAGGATGAGCACTCAGCGTTGCCAAGGAAACTGAAAGGCGGGTGGATGGTGAATGGAGGTAAGGGGGTGGGGGCTGGTGAAGGAGAACTGGAGCTCTCCGCTGGTAACCCATCTACTCATCACTGGTTGGGGGTTGAGCCTGCCTCTTATGCAAATGGGAGAGGCAGAAACCCATGGCAGGCCCTTGGGGACCTGGGGTGCGAGCTCTGAACTCTTTCCCATTTGGGGAAACCAAGGTCTGGTCTGTTATTTGGAAATACAGCCAAATGCACTTTCTGGAAGCCAATCAAAGGTAGTGTGGAGCTCGGGGCATGCAGGGGTGAGCCACTTAATTAGCACCTCTACCAACCATGGCCTCCACTGGGGGGCTGAGGTGGGGGGAGTGGGATAGATATGTACTAGGTTCCCTGGGGGCTCAGCTCTGTTAGTGAGAGCTGACTTCTCTTCAGGAGGAAGTATATAATCAAGGGCTCTGCAGGTAAGGTGTGGAAATTAAGTGCCCAAGTACAGAGTGGGAGAATCAGGCTCAGAAGCATCACTCAAGTATAAGAACAGGGAGTGCAATGAGGCAGAACTATGAGAAGAACCATTTATTAAACATGCTATCTGCTAGGCCCAATGGAAAAATCGCCAACATTTTATTACTCAAGACCTGCACAGATATCCTGAGTGGAAAATATTCTCAACTCCATCATACTGAACAGAGAAACTGAGACAAGAGACAAAGAGATTTGCCCAAGTCACACAACTAGGAGATTACCAGTTGACTGGTAGAGTGACATCTCTAAATCTGTCTTCTTTTCTGTCACATGTGGCTGCTTAAAAAAGTGAGTATCGATTTGGGCTGCATCAACGGAAACATGATTGTCAGAAACAGGAAGGGGACTGTGCAATGTCAAGGTTGGTCTGTAGATGGAATAGCATGTATAGTTTAGTCCCCAGAGTGTTGAGATCAGCAAAGGGATAGATGTCAGAGGACAAGGCCTGGAAACCAAGTCAACGGGGGAAGAATGGACAGTCTTAGGGATGTGTCTGCCAGCCTTGAGAACATCCTAAATGTTCTACTGTGTGGGATAATCTGTGTGGTTGGGTTTCAAAGAAGTGGCTGGAGAGGTTAGGGAAGGCTTTCAGAAGAAGTAGGACTGATGACAGATCACAGAGGCTGGGCGGGATCTGGGGGGCCAAAGGTGCCAGTGTGACAGAGGTGGAGAGACAGGAATGAACATGAGTAGTAGTGGGTGGGATCAGATCACAGAGGACTCCGAATGCCTATTTTTGAACTTCAGGTGCACACTGCGGTCCTTTTCACCTTAACTGCTAATGCTTCTACTTAAAATACTTTCTAGTTCTGGCCTTAGCAGAAACAGACAGAAACTGCACAACCTTATGGACATCAAACTAGTCACTCTGCCTGCCTGGGAGATATTCTCTGAGACTCCTCAGAAAGGCCTAAAAAAAAACCTCAGTCTAACCTCTCCCTTGGGCTATGTCTCAGATCATCTCTACATTGACTGGCTTGATCCTTTGGAAGGCCTGGCCATGAGGGGAATCCACAGGCCTCACAGGTACATGAAGGTTGGAGATGAAGAGGGAGAAGCCCAAGCTTGGCTGAGAGGGAGTCCTCAGTGTCCTGACAGAAAGATGAACCTGTGGGTGGGGGTGTTTGGGGAGGTGGAGGTATTATAAAATGTCAAAGGCTAGACTTTTGTGAATGGTACGTGCGGACGTGCGTTGAGGTGAGGGTGAGTGGGAAGTCATCTGAAAGGAGTCACATTGTTCCAAAAGTTGGCTAAGTTGAGAATCTAGGTTGGAAAGAAGCTGAACATAAACTGGGTTTAGGTTTCATGGGGGTATCTGGTGAGGCAGAAGTGCCCATGCATCCATCAGGCAGGTAGCCTGGGCAAACAGGTGTCATAAACCTGAGGTTCTGATCTTGACTTCTCTTTCAGGAAGCTTCCCAGCCCACTGAGAGCTGTGGGCTGCTGGGTTATATAGTTCAAAAACACCATGGAGAATGTGGAATTGGATTACGCCTGGGGTCATCTTTTCCCTCTTCTTTTCTAACAATGCACCTGGGAGTGAGCTCTTTATAATGCCAGGCAGACTCCACTGCACAGCTGTCCCTGGTCAATTCTGCCAAACCCAGGGCAAGAGTCTGGGGTGGGCTTGATCTGGGCCCCTGTGAAACAGGCGAAATGCCAACCATTAAACAATTACAACTCTGGATATTTCTAATAATATCTGAAGAGAAAAACGGCCAAGCAGATGGTGTTCGACAGAATGAAAAATGGAAGCAGCTAGAAAGGACTGGGGAAGGCGGGCCCCCAGGGTGTGTGGCTGGCAGGGTGGCTGAGGACCAAGGCTGGGGCAGAGGCTGGGACAGACAGAGACCTGGATGGGCCCATCTGGGATGTGGCCACAGGTACTGGTGCTCTCACTGGGGACAAGCAAATGCTGCAACTTACTCTGCAAGCACTTTAGAGTCTATCAAAGAACTTCTGTAGACATAACTTCATTTGAGGTTGGTTATAAACCTATAAGGCAGGGAGGGCTGGAAATGTGATTCCCATTTTACAGGTGAGGAAATGTGTATAAGGAAGGTGACCTGTTTGAGGTTACAGAGGTAAATAAATGAACCTGGGCTTCACCCCTGGCTCTGGCTACCTCTTGAGCCTGAACTGGTACTTCAGGAGTTTAGAGAAAGGAGCTGGCTCTCCCCTGCCACAGCATCTCTTACTCCCTTATGGCACCTGGAAAGGTGCTCAAATAAACCTTTGAATACAAATGAATACACCCCTCTGCAGTGTTCCCTCTGGCTCACTCATCCATTCCTCAGCTTCTGCCTATCTCCTGACCACGGCTCTATGGGCTCAAGATGTTGTCAGAGTCCCTTGAGAAGGCAGCTCAGCCCCTTCCGTGGCCAGTCCCATCTCTAAAAGCTCCAACAGGCTTGGCAGCCTCCCCACATGCTAGGTCATGCAAGGGCTCCCTTGTTATGTTCCCAGAACACCTTCTCCCTGCCACGTTGACCACTACTGGACCATCTTAAATCTCACCTGCAACAATTCTTTTCTAGTAGCTCTACCACATCACATCTGCCCCATCAACTCCCAGTATAGTAGAGAGGGTAGAAGTTACAGGATCTAGTTTGGAGTCCTGACTCTGTCACTAATTAGTTGACTGACTTGGAGTAAAATATTTACTCCTTTAGAGGCTTGGTTTCTTCATCTTTAAAATGGTAATAGTCATACATGCTCAGTCAGCCCCATATGAAGATTAAAATGAATTAATAGTTATGAAAGTATTTTGTTAGTTGCAAAGACTAGAACAATAACAAGAATAAAAATAATGGTAGTCATAGCAGCAGTAGTGGCAGCAGCCATTAGCTTTGATATTTTACAGATCTCTCTTTCATCCTTACAGTAGTTTGGAGAAGCAGGCATTATCTCCATTTTACAGAGGAAGAGACTGGAGCTCAGAGAGGGGCAGTGTGACAGGTTTCATCCACCAGTGCCCTTGTATCTGGGGGAGAGTGTGCCCTAATCTGACTGTATATTCTGTAGGTGCAGGTGCTAAGTGTTCTGTTTCCTGAGAGGCCCTTGCCCAACACTAGTACAATGCTTGCTGACTAAATGAATTAATTCTTGGTCTTTCTGGAATCACAAGGGGGAAAGAACAGATACTTTAAATCCCATTTTATAGGAAACAGTGAGCCCTGGTCCCAAGAGTCTCTAATGGCTCCAAGTGGTTTCTACTACCTTGGGTGAATAAGGCTTCCACTCCCATCTTAACCTTATCCATTTGTTCAGCAAGTAAGTTCTATGTTGGATGTTGGGGTACCTACAAAGAAGCCTAAACCAAGGTTTGTGCCTTTTAGGTGAATGCTGTAATGAAAACTGTGGGTTCCAAGTGGGATGGGAACACTGGGAGGAGTGTGGGAAGAGCCATTTGTGACTGTGACTTGTGCCTGAAGGATGAGGGGAGATGGCCAGGCAGTCTGGGTATGATGGGACATTCCAGAAGGAAAGCCCCCGTGCACGTAAAACCAAAGTGAAACAAAAGAACGGTCTCCTCTTCCCATGCCAGGCCTTTGCCTCTGTCTAGCTGATTCAAGGTTCTGTGGCAGTCTGGGTAGGCTGACTCATCCTTCCTGGTAAGTTCTAGTGATCTAGTGTGGGAGATTTTTCTAACCTAACCTGGCATGGAACATGTTTGTTTCATGCTCGTGGCATCTTCCAGGGGAACCTGTCCTTCAGAAGGACTCTGATGTTGGACTCACCTAAATGTCTATTTGCAATTTCCTGTCTAAGCATATAGGTTCATAAAGCACAGGCAGTGCTCAAGGAGTGCCTGCTGACTGAGTGGTACTGGTGCCTCAGATCTGATGATGAGATGATGAGAGAAGAGTTCTCTTCTTAGTCTGTAAATTAGTTTTTCTGAGGGTCAACTATTGCTACCAAGGGGTAAGTATTAAAAATGCAAAGAAGAGCTTCTGTTGAGCCCACCCATTGTGTGCATGTGTGTGCATGCTGTGGGGTACAGATCACTGGAGGGAAGAGAGACACCCTTCCAGAAAGAAGCTGAGATCAGATTCTGTGCTGAGGAAAGGCAGAATGTCAAGATGGGCTTGGACTTGGTTCATTTGAGTTCAGTTGAGTTCAACAACCTTTTGCACACCTGTGTGCCAACCCTGGGAAAACAGAGCTGAATGATGAGTAATTCCTGACCTCTGGAGGGAGAGAGACATACAAACAGATGCCGTGTGCTAAGTGCAGTGATAAAAGGTGTCCACAGGAAGCCCAGAGTGTTGAGGGTCCAGGAAGACGAGTGGAAGGGCAGGGCAGTCCAGGCACCAAGAAGAGCAAGGGCACAGGAGCGACACCTGAAGTGGTGAGGTGGGGAGGTGGAACTGTAAGCAGTTTTCTAAATTAATCACTGCCATGCCACAACTCAAGGATGACCTGGATATATTTCTCAGATCAGAAACAGGACTTCCACAGGAAAGTCCAAAAAGGTGCAGTGCTTGGAAAGATTACACTTTTGGATTAGTCAAAGAGGTAAGTAGAGCATGGGATAGGATGGTGCACCCACTGTACGCCACATGGCTGATGCCGAGATTCTGTATCTGGGCTAGACTCTGGCTTGGAGGAGCAGCCAAGGTGGTAGAGCTTTCCAGGGGAGTTCATGGGCTTCAGAGTGAACTGGGACTAGATGTAATGGGTTCTGAGGACAGGCCCTGGTCAGAGGGAGCCGCAGGGAAGCTACCAGGTGTGCAGGCTGACTGGCTGCCTAGAGGAGCCTTCTTGGAGCAGGTCTGGGGAATGGCCTGTCCACCCAAGAAGACAAAAGTTGAGTATTTTAGGGTTGTAATTAACTATTTCTCCATAGTCACATTCCTAGTGTGCTTGCAAACAACTAGAAAGCAGGCTTACAGCTTCTCTTCTTTCCTCAAAGCACATCAGAGAGATGGACAAGGGGCCACGCCAAAGTAATTAACTTGACAGACTTTACTAAGTACCTACTTCGAGCAGAATACTATGCCAGGAATTGAGGGAAACAAAAATGATTCAGTCATGGTCTCTGCCCTCAGGAGTCCTCAGTCTCTTACTCCTGAACTGAGTTAGGCTAAGTAAAAACCAGCCAGAGTGTGGGAGATGGGCAAGGCTAAGGTGGGGAAAGGGCCAGAAGAAAAGGAATTCCAAGCAGAGATGGCGTCATCAACAAATGCAGGCAGGAGGTCAACACAGCATGTGCAGGAAAGTGGAAGCAGCCACTATGTAAAGTGCAAAGTGGGGAGGGTGGGGGCAACAGAGGAGAGGAGCAGCAGGAGTGGGCCTCATATGCTGGGCTAGGGCAGCCATTCAAAGATTTTAAATAGGTTTCTTTTTTTCTTTTTTTTCCTTCTTCTTTTTGTTTTAAACTTTACAAAGCTGACACCAGCTTCGGAGAAGTGGTTATAGGGGAAGAAAAAAGAGGCAGAGAGACCAGTGAGGAGGCCACTGCAAGGTAAGGATGGGAGATGCTGAGGTCCTGAGTTGGAGCAGTGGTATCAGGAAAGCAGGGGTGAGGCCAGATTTGAGATCCATTTAATAGAAAAAAAGAAAAAGAAAAAAAGGAGAAAGAATGATAGTATTTGATACTTAATAGGCTATAGGGGGTGAGAGGGAGGGAGGAGCCAAACAAACATCTAAGTTTCTATTTAGGAGACTAGAGAATGGTGGTGTCTTTATGGAGATGGGAACATGAGAGGTAGGCAGGTTGGAGGAGGGAACAGAGTCTAGCTCTGAATGGGCTGAAAAAACAGCTGGTTGCCTTTCTGAGAATGGTGAAGCACGGAGGCTCTGAGCTCCCAGGAGGTCTGCCCAACTGTCCAGGCATCCTCCCTCTGCCCATGACCAAGAACAGCTCTGGATTCTGGAAGAAGAGCCTCATTTTCAATGTCAGTGCTCTGGCTTGTCATCTGTGGGATCCAGTGACCCTAGAAGACCAAAGAGGCCATGGGGGCCTGGGCTGTGGGGTTGGTGCTTTATCTCCTCCATTTGTAAGGTGGTAACTGTGTGCCCGCCTTGCTAGAAGCTCTGCAGCTGGGGATCACACTGATAAATTCACTGTATTACTTTGCACAAATCAATATCCCAGCACTTACCAGGGGTTGATGTGACCGAAATTGGTTTCAGCCAATTCGTGAGGGTAATAAATGGCCATTTATCAAATCAATTCATTCTGCGGCACTTCTCTGGCTGCCCATCCCCATCGTACCCCTGGGGTGCCAGTCCCTAGCATACATCTGACACTAGCCTAGAGGACCCAGGGAGGCCCAGCTGACCTCTAGACCACTAGCTACTAGCCTCTCCTGCACCTGCTTCAGTCTTGAGGTCCTGAGGCACTGGCTGCTGCTTGCCTAACAGAAATTCTGACCCGGAGAGTGCCAAATGCTTCAGTTGAGCTGGTAGATGAACACAATCTGTCATCAGTGTGACCTTCAGCTGTAGGACTTCTAGCAAGGCGGGCACACAGTTACTACCTTACAAATGGAAGAGGGAATGTACCAACCCCACAGCCCAGGCCCCTATGGCCTCTGTGTCTTTTCCAGCATCACTGGAGCCACAGCAGGGTCAACCTACACACCATAGGACAAGTAGCAGGGCCTTTCCGATGTCAGGTAGAGTTCAGGTGACAGAATCAAGCTTTGGATAGAAGCAAGCACTCAGGGCAGACATTCTGACAGCCCCGAGGAAGTGGGAAGTAGAATCATCTACTTCTGTTCTGGGCCAATGGCAAGGAGATACAAGGTGGGTGGTGCAGCAGAGGTCAGTGTAGGATCAGGGGAAGAGTCCAGCCTGGGGCTGGGACGAAGGATCAGTCCCGGGCTGAAGGAAAAACTGGGCCTGACCTACAGAGCACACTGCCCAACCCCAGATGGTAAACATCTGGAGGATGGGGACTAGGTTTTATTTAGTGCTCCCTGCTACATACTAGAAAAAACATGTTCTTTACAGTCCTGCAGTCCTGGATTTGGTTTCCCGGCACACAGGTGAGGAAACTGATGCTCAAAGAAGCTGAGTGACTAGCCTGAGTTGCACAGCTGGTAAGTGGCCGATCTGCTATTTGAGCTCTGGCTGATCGAATTCTTTCCATTTTAATGTCCTCTTCCCTCTCCCCTCCACTACTTATGGGAGTTTCATATCTTACGGGCTTGGGAAGCCGGTGAGTAGAAGGAGGTCAGAGGAGCAGGTAACCTGCTGGGAAAGGGTGGCATAAGAGGTGGAGGGAAAACACCATGATGACAGCTGCAGTTCTGGCCCAAGTGGACATGAGATTCCAGCAGGATATGCTTTCTGAGATCTCTGCTAGGTCATCTGTTACTCTCATGGGCACCTCCTCCTCCTCTCTTCAACCCAAGAGCTCCCAAGGTCTCCCTTCCTTCTACCTAGACATGGCCTTGGCAAAGTAGGGGGTTGCCATCTCCAAGGTGGTGGCTGAGCATGGCTGTCTGTATCTAGACCCAAAAGGGCAGTCTGGTGTGGTTTGGGCCTGAATAGCGAGGAGTGTGTATTCAGAAAAGCTCTCCCTGGCGCCTTTGTGTGCCTGCAGGCTGCCTTCTGCCCTAGAGCTGGTTAGACAGCTCTCATCTGTGGGCTCCTTTTATCCACTGATGGTCAGGCCCCTAGTGAGTGGCTCACGACTTGCACATGAGTCCCACTGGTGTGTGAGGATGATTGGATAATGGGCTGGGCTTGGTGTGTCACGGTGCAACTGCCTTCATTGTTCAGTGACTCCTCTAATTGGTTTTCTAGGGCTGACAATGCCACCCCAGACCATTCCAGAGGGGCACCACAACTTCAGCCTTATGTCTCCTTTTACTAGCGAGCAGAACCAGCTGCTGTCCTTGGCAGTTGGAGAACTGCATCAGGTGGGACTAGATGCAACACTAAATGCAACATGTTGGTGAGACTGACTGTGACCCTGAAGGGCAGAGGTTTGTAAAGTTGAGCTGAGTATCAGCGTCTCCTGCAGGGCCTGTTAAAACACAGATTTCTGGGCTCCACTGCCAGAGCCTCTGATTCCAAAGGTCTAGAGTGAGGCTTCAGGTCTACTACTGACAAGTTCCCAGAGGATGTTGGTGCTGCTGGCCCAGAGACCACTTTGAGAAACACTGCCTTGGGGGCTACCCCCTTGTCTAACCAGGCATAGGGTTCCCCTGCCCTTGCCTCAATCTGTCTGAGGTCACCCTCGGGGGTCACACACCTGAATAGGAGAACAACTGTGAGGGCACCATCTTGAGCAGAACCCCAGTTTTATATCTCTCCAGTGGGGTCTGCATTGGCAGGAGGGTCACTAGATTAAGGATGACACCAGCGGGCAGTCTGGTTCCCAGGGGTCAAAGTATGGGACATAAGAGCTTCCGAGGTAAAGAAGAAGGCACTCAAGACTTGTTCAGGATGTTTTCCCTAAAATTGAGCCAGCTGCTGACAAATTATATGGAAGTGTGGTACAGTCCTAGGCAGGAGATGGAAGTCAGAAGTTCTAGTTCTGGCTTAGCTGCTATGTTATTAGTGATGGATAAACTGTTCTTCTGTGGCTTTCAGTTTCTCCACCTGAAAGATGGGGGTGGATGGGGGCAGTGGACCAGATGAAGGTCAAAGTTAAATTCTAAGCATAGGAAAGCAGCCTTGAGCAAATTATTGAACTGCTCTGTCTCAGCTTCCTCAACTGTAAAGTGGGGATTTAATGGGACCAACCTCAGAGTTGCTGCAAGGATTAAATGACACAACATATGCAAAGAGCTCAGAACACTGGCTGGCACAAAGTACTCAACGAATGCTGCACTGTAAGTATTATTAGCCACTTCTCAACATGGAGCGAGCAGGACCGCACCTCACTGCGGCAGACCCTGAGCTACTCTGCCCTTTTCGGCGTGGGCCAGTGTCTTGTGTACTCACCAGCACCCACCGTGGCGATGGCACTCTCCTGGCCAATGATGTGCTCCTTCAGCCGCTGCTCCAGAGGAAAGCGGCGCCGCTCCTCGGCCTCACGCTTCCGCTGCTTCTCCTGGTACTGTGGGGAGAGGAGAGAGGGAAGGTGGCTCAGGATCGCTGGGCCCAGGAGGATCCTAGTTTCATTCTATCCGCCAACCCACGGAAAAAACACATGTCTGGATCTTTGGGGGTCCTGATACACAGCCCTGGCTCAGGACCACTGGAGGCTGGCCCAGTCCTCCCCCCACCCCCCCTTCCTAGGCCTCATCTCATCTCCTTACATTGAGAGTAAGATCCTGGCTCATCCTGCTAGTAAAATAATTACTACTAGTAGATTAATACTTGACTCTGGAGTCTGACAGAAGACTTGGCTCGAATTCCAGCTTTCTCACTTATAAGATGTGCTTATTACCTGGAGTGAGTTACTTTGCCTCAGTTTTCTCCTCTATAAATTGGGGATTAAATATGATGGTATATAGAACCTACCTAGCATCATGGTTGGCATGCTCTAAGTGCTTAACAAATACAGGTTCCTTGCCTTTTTTGTTTATCCTCTTGAAAACCATTCTGATTTTCAAATCAGAGCTATGAATACCCTCCACTTCAATGATACTGGATTTCAATTCAAAACAACTAATTCAGCAACTGCTGTGCGCCTGGCCTGGTGCACACAATATTGGAAAGGTGCGGCAGGGGCAAGGAGGACGATTATACCTCACCCCCTGGGAGGCTGAGATGAGTGCCTAGCAAGTGTCTGGCCTCTGGCTTGGTCCATTTTGGAAAAGGCAAGGCCTGCGCTTGGTCATGCTGTGAGGGAGAAAAAGAGGGCCAGGCCTTGCCCTCAGGGAGCTCAAAGTTGGGCAGAAGAAGTGAGGCAGGGTCTGTACACAAATACTTCTCAGGCAAAATCAGCCATTTTTCTCACAATTCCAAAGCATGTGTGCCTATTTCTAGCCCTATACCTATCACTGAAGCAAAGATTACCTGAAAACAAGTTTGCTGCATGTTTGTGAGTCTGTCTTCCAAATCAGATATGAGCCCCCTGAGGGTACACACTGCCTTTTACTCACTGCTATTCCTGGTGTGGGTCCTGGCACAGTGAAGGTATCTGGTGAATGTTTGCTAAAATGAATCTAATGACAGATATAAAGAGGAATTAACAGCTGGACTGGGTGGTGATGGAATAAAGAAGGGGAAGGATACATAGAACACGGAACATTTTGGGGGTGCTTTCTGGGAGGTGGGAGGCTTGGAGGAGCTGAAGTAGTGGGCTAAGTGGGAGCTGTGGGACTGAGACCAGGAAGGGAGGGGTGAGTGCATGGGTCTGATGATAAAGCATTTATGGAGGTGGGGGCTGGGGGAAGGAGGCAGGTCTTGGAGTAGAACGGAAAGACCTGTGTCTTCAGGAGGCTTCTCTTCCCTAGGGTCCCTGTAACACTGACAGCTTTCTAGGAAGCAAGCTGCTAAGGTAAGGCCCTGTCACAAAAACTGTGGCTGCAGATTGCTCTTGTGGGCAGAGTGGATGAAAAATACCTGCTGTTTGGGCAGTGTTTTCCTGTTATGGTAGTGACCTTGACAGAAGTTAAAAAAAATAAATAGCAAACAATCCAATTTTGGCTGTTGCTATCAGTCTGTAACTGAAAGCTCCCATCAGTCCTGGGGTTTCATATGGAGCAATAATTCGGCGCCGATCCCAGTGGAGCGACGCTTGCCGGTTGGAATCCAGCGCGTCACTGTGCAGCTCCCTCAGGCGCCACATACATCACATGGCTCTGCCGACTCCAGCCATATATCTGCCTCCTCCTCCTCCCTGCCCATCCAGCCCCTCTCAGCACTCAGGCCCACTGGGCTGGAAGGCTCTGATGGTGAGAAGCACACACACTGGCTGGTACAGCATTAGCCAGCGCCTGGCCGGCTTGCAGTCAGCCAGGCCCCCCGAAGGAGCTCGAAGCTGTGGAAGCTGGCTTCCAAGGGTTTGTTGGGCCTGTTTCCTCACTTCCCCTCCGTGATGGGTATTCCTGCCTCTGGGCCTTCTGCTCACACTGCTCCATCACACAAAAGCCTTCTCTATTCTTACCCAGCTCTAAGTATCCTGGTGATCTCAGCTTAAATGCCATATAACTTAAGGAGCCTGTTATAAGGTTTCGTGCCTGCCTCTGGCCCCAGGACCTCTGGTGCACTTATTTAACTGCTAATTTATGTCTCTTTACTCGACACGTGAGGTCCATAGTGACAAAGACCATGTTTTATTCATTTCCATAGCTCCAGCACCTAGCACAGGGCCTGGCTCACAGGAGTCAATACATGTTGCCAACTGAATGAGGTTAACTACCATTTGTGGAATGGCTACTGTGTGCCAGGCACCGTACTCTGCACTTTATCCATAGTGTCTCACTTAATTCTTACAACTGTGCCCATCTGAAGTTTGACTCCTCTTCTGGCTTATAGTGGGGCATATCATGTGGCAGAAAGAAGCAGCTTTACTCCAAAGAGACCTGAATTCAGGCCTTACCTAATCCACTTACTATCTAGCTGACCTTGGGGAAGTTAATTCACCTCTCTGAATTTGCTTCCTCATCTCCAACATGGGTATGGTGCTCATGCCTACCCTGCAGGCCCCTTGTGGGATGTTGGTGAGGATTAAATGAGATGACATATACAAAGCACTAGGCAGGTCTCCAGCACACAGCAAATGTGTAAGTGGCTGTGTGAGAGACTCAAGTGGTTAACAGAGTACCTGGCCCTTAGCAAGCCTTTGATAAATGTAACTTCCCCTTTGCTGCATTTTGATAACTGATTATCTAACCCAATATCTCTTCTTTTTGTTTTCAAATTTTTGTTTTGGTACTGGAATCCTTTAAACTACTTTAATCTGCATGGAGCTCCACAGATAAGAAGAGTTTCTCTAGCTTAACCAGAAGCCAGGAATCAAGTTCACTTGGTCGTCCCCACTGCCCCAGCGTGGCTTCTGAGGCCCCTCCCCCTAGGAACCCAGTGTCTGCACCAACCAGGTTTTGGGGATGCCTCTACTGCCTGGGGTGGCTCAGCTCCGCCTGTCAGTATTCCCCATGTTGTAGAGAACTCTACCTCCAGGTACTTTCCATCCATTGATTTGAGGGGCCTCACAAAACATACCTTTTTTCTTTTGAGGCAGGCAAAGACTAACATGACTTTTTCCACCACTTTGCTGGTTTGGGTATGACCATTGTGGCCTCCTTAAGACTTCTTCAGGGAAACATTTCTACCTCCTGTAACTCTTCTTCAGTGTCATGATTTTAGGTTGTCTTAGTATTCCTGTTATTTTCTTGGGCAAGAGAAAAGGGTTCTTGACTTCTACGAGGGTGAGTGTGAGAGAAAGATTACACTGTGATCTGCCTGGTTTCTCAGGAGCTTTCTAGATGGTCCTGGGAAAGATTCAACCTGTGACCTAATTCTGAGCACATTCTGATTCCAGCACACTCCATCCCAGCCTGGAGCCCTAAATATCTACTCAGAACAACTTCTGAAAATGGATGAGATTCTTTGATAAAAATGTACAGACACTGAGATTAAACCAGGTAGAAGATTACTGCTTCATGCTGTTTTCCTAATGCTTAGCAAAGAATTTATGTTAAAAAAAAGTGTTGAATGAATGAATGACTTTTAAAGGCATGAGCTATGAGTTCAGGCTTGTGATAAGCCAGCCAGTGGAAGAACCTAGGAAAGGAAAATACTTGGTCTGTATACATTCTGTTTGGGGAAGAGGAGAGAGAAGGATGGGAGAAGGGTCCATGAATGTAGGCTACTATTGTTTTCTGGCTTTTTAAGGAAATAGGGAGGAAGGCTACAGGGACTGAGGTCAAGGTTCTGCTTTAACAGGGTTTCACTAGAGGAGAAGATAAGGTAGGTAACCCAGTCTGCAGAAGCAGAGGGCACTGGGCTGGCTGAGAGTCACTAGGAGGAAGTCACCTAGGAGAGCAGGAATAGGGGAGTGAACATCTTCTTAATAAAAGCCACATGCAATTAGCTTCAGAAGCCCTCACCTGGAGCGAGCAGCTCCCTATGCTGCATCTGGGCTGGATAATCGCAACCACTGGTTTCCATCATTCTTGATTTAATATGGCACCCCTCCTGGCTGTGAGTGCATTTACAGGAAAGGGCTGGGAAGCCAAGGTGAAGCCTAGCTGGGCTGGCTAGGAATGGGTGGGTGGCTGGGCTGAGTGGCCCTGCAGGGGAGGGTTACAGGGAGAAGGGGTATGGAAGTACTCCTACTGTTGGGCATCTCTCAGGGAACAGGTCTGATAATGAACCTGGCAGTGTGTTCACTGAGAGGGTAGCTGGGGCAGGGGTGGTCGGCAGTAAGAGACCCTAGGCAAGAACGGGATAGGTGTGGAGAAGGGAAGAGAAGAGAGGTCGAGCTGCAGTTGGCCTCTCATAGGAGGTCAGGACACTGAGCCCACTAGCTGCTCACAGACTAAGATATGCCCCAACCTCCTGACTCCCTGATCCAACCCCAACTCATGTCACAGTCAGGCCTTGAAGCTGGGAATGACAGAGAGGACTGGGTGGGGAGGCCAACAAAGGTGACTTGGGGGCAACAAATGAGACTAGGGCAGGGGAGGATGAAGGAAAATGTTCTGAGTGGGGGAGTAACGACAAGAGGAGCCCAGGGGGTCCAACAAGAGTCTGGGGGATACACAGCAGATGGGACAGGAGACTGGGGGATGAGAGGGGAGCCAAAGGGACATGAAAGTCTGTTGAACTAGCTCATAAAGTCCAGATCCATGTAGAGAAAAGCTGGGTAAAGAGCAGCCATCAGGCCCACCAGACTTGGTGACCACTACGTCAGCATCCCATTCTATTTGCCTCTCTTCCAGTTGATCTTCCTTTTGATGCCAGAGTGATATTTTTAACATGCAAATCAGATCAGGTCACTCCTCTGCAAACAGCTGGGTTGATTCAGAGATAAGAGTGGCTAGAGAAGGTTAAGAAGGACAAGGAGTGGCCTAAGTGAGAAAATGGGTTGTAGTCTCCCCAGGAGGCACGTGATGTGGCCGGGGATGTTAACTTTGATTACTTGGTTAAGGTGGTCTGTGCCAG